TTAAGTACTTAGTCTAGGTTCTCTAGGAGATGTAAACAGAGAAACCAGATATCAGATGAACAACGTTACTATAGAGAAATCCGAATGTGAGAAAGAATTAGGAATAATGATAAGTAGGAATCTTAAACCAAGTCAACAATGGAAAAAAGGTACTCAAACTATTCAATCAGGAGCGTACTCGTAACAATGGTTTTAAATTAGACAAATTTAGATTTAGGCGTGAAATAGCTAAACATTGGTTTGGAAATATAATGGATGAGTGGAAAAAGTTACCAAACATCATCATGAACGCGAATACGCTGGATAGCTTCAAACATACAGTAGGTTGGATGGATATAAGAGCGATAGGGGTTGGGTGTAAACGGGACTGCCCAGTATGAGCCTACAGGCCCGCTGCAGTTCCTCCATTTTTATGTTCTTATATTCTAACTCATTCTTGCTCTCCCACACACTCTTGCTCGCCCACTCACACTTGCCCGCCCACTCACACTTGCCCGCCCACTCACACTTGCCCACCCACTCTTGCCCGCCCTCTTACTCTTGCTCTCCCACACGCTCTCGCCCGCCTACATACTCTTGCCCGCCCACTCGCTTTTCCCGCCCACTTGCTCTTGATCACCCACTCACTCTTGATCACCCACACATTCTTGCCCTCCCACTCACTCTTGCCCGTCCACTCACTCTTGCCCGTCCACACACTCTTGCTTGCCCACTCACTCTTGCCCGCCCACTCACTCTTGCCAGCCCACTCACTCTTGCCTGTCTATTCATTCTTGCCCACCCACTCGATCTTGCCCACCCATTCGTTCTTACCCGCCCACTAATCTTGCTTGTCCATTCACTCATGCCCGTCCACACGCTCTTGCCCGCCCACTCACTCTGATCACCCACACATTCTGCCCGCCCACTCACTCTTGCCCGTCCACTCACTCTTGCCCGTCCACACCCCTTGCTTGCCCACTCACTCTGCCCGCTTACTCACTCTTGCCAGCCCACTCCTCTTGCTTGTCTATTCATTCTTGCCCACCCACTGATCTTGCCCACCCATTCGTTCTTACCCGCCCACTCAATCTTGCTTGTCCATTCACTCATGCCCGTCCACACGCTCTGCCCGCCCACTCACTCTTGCCTGTCCTTTCACTCTTAAGCCAACTGCTCTTGCCCGCCCACTATTCTTGCCCACCCACTGCTCTTGTCCGCCCACCTGTTCTTGCCTCGCCCACTCAATCTTGCCTGTCCATTCACTCTGCCCGCCCACTCATTCTGCCCACCCACTCTTGTCCGCCCACTCGTTCTTGCCGCCCACTCAATCTTACCTGTCCATTCACTCTCCTGCCCGCCCACTCGCTCTTGCCTGCCCACCTCTCTTGCCCGCCCACTCACCCCTGCCAGCCCACTCTCTCTGCCCGACCACTCACTCCCTGCCCACCCACTGCCTCGCCCACCCACCTGCTCGCCCGCCCACCCACTCGCTCTCACAAAGACAGTCATTAAATTCCTTAATATAAACAAACTTGAGCCACCTCGCCCTTCAAAGAGAGAGAGAGAGAGAGAGAGAGAGAGAGAGAGAGAGAGAGAGAGATTCCCAAACTATTAACTATATCGTTATTTTTCTTCCCGCTAAACTATGCAATAAAATATTTCTTCAGGAGTTTATTAAATATATATAAAATCACTATTCCAACGGTGGTTTGATTTTAATCTTTTAAATATAGAGGTGAGGTAAGGTTATGGGAAGGGGGGGGGGGCTGTCTCTCTCTCTCTCTCTCTCTGTCCCAGGAAAAAAAAGAAGTTTGAGCCGAATTCATTTCCGATTCTGCATTTTAGCTCCTGAGCCATTAATTGGTGACTAAGACCTGGGGGTGAGAGTTAGTGAGAGAGAGAGTGAGAAGGGATGAGAGTTATTTAGATAAGGGATAAGAGAGTGAGAGGGTTAAAGAGGATGCTAGAGACAGTGAGAGTGCGAGAGGGAGAGAGAGATAGTGAGAGTGAGACAGGTTGTAAGAATGAAACAAGGTGTGAGAGAAAGTGAGAGAGAGAGAGATACAATTCCAATTAACGGGGTTGAGGAAAAGACATACCTTCAATTAACACTGGAAAAAATCACACACACACACACACACACACACACACACACACACACACACACGTACAGGTAACCTTTTGTTGGTGTAAATTCTTATGTCGTCTATACTTTAGTCGAACCAAATGTTATGTCGTTTATAGTTTGTATCACTCCGCCACTTCCTTCGGCCGAGAAAATATGGCGTCGAAGCTACACAGAGGATCGACAGGTACTATATGCGTTCACCCTTCCAATCCCCGACTTTCCAATCTATTTGATAGTGAACAAACACACGAGTTTCCAATCCCAACCCAAGAAGGAAAAAAAACAAAAAGATAAACAACTTTCCAATCACAAACTCTTAATTTCTCAAGAAAAATAAACTATTCAATCTTCCACAAGAAAAAAAAATTAACAAACACATATTTTTTCAATCCCTCACAAGGAAAAAAAAAAATACTTTCCAATCCCCCGACTCTTCAATCCTCCCTCAAAGGAATAAGACAAATCAGTATGTGAGGCCCCGGAAATGTCTGTTGTGTGTGGGCAGGAAACTGAACGTAGTAGCCTTTGAGAATCTGCTGTCGTGGTCATACCGATAATTCCCCTCACAGTCCATAGGTTTGTTGGAAGGGGGAGAGAGGAGGGGTGGGTAGGGAGGGGAGGGGAGGAAATGGAGAAGGTGGAGGAGGAAAGGGAAGGGAATAAGTAGGAAAGGAGGAGGTGAGGGAAGGATGGAATGGGGAGGGGGTGGGAAGGAAAGAAGGAAGAGGGAAGGAGAAATGTAAAATGGCTAAGGGAGGAGAAGGAGAAGAGGGAGGAAGGTGGAAAGGAGAGAGTGGAAGAGGGAAAGGGGAATGAAGATAGGTAAGGGAAAAAGATGGAGAGGGGATAGAAGAAGAGGTGGAGGGGGAGGAGAAATGGAAGGGGGAGTGGGGAGGAAAAAGGGGAAGAAGAAGAGGAAGAGGAGAAGAAGAGTGAGGAGAAGAAGGAGGACGTTTATTCTTGAACACCACAAAGAGGCTGAGGGAATCTATTCATAACTGTGTGAGAGGTGAGGGAAGGTGAGGGGAAAGGTGAGGGGAAAGGTGAGGTAGGAGGGGGGGTGGTGGTGAGGTATGGTCCAGGAATTGTATTGTGGTGGGTAGTTGTTGTTGTTGTTGTTGTTCTTCTGTTTGGTTTTATCTTTAGTCGTTCTTTATTCTTTTCGATTGGTCTCTTTATTTTGTTTATCTTCCTCTTTCTCTCCTTTAGTGTGTGTGTGTGTGTGTGTGTGTGTGTGTGTGTGTGTGTGTGTGTGTGTGTGTGTTTAATAAAATCACATGACACAGACATGGAGAAACATCTATTATTATTACTCTTTTTAGATACTGGGATCACCTGAAGATTAAACACCCTAACCTAATCTAACCTAAACATTAATCCTAACCTAATCTAACCATTAACCTAACCTAACCTAACCTAACCTTTACTACACCTGTTATACACTTCTCTTTCATCATTATTATATTAGCCTCTTTACCTCAGGTGGTGTATATTTTTAACTTATTTACGACTTGGCAACTGATGCTTTGTTTACCTTTGGGTGATCTTTCATTGGTTGGTTGTTTCTCTGTGTTGTCCATTAATCATTTTTATGACCACTTTTTTATATATTTTTTTTTTATTTAGTCTTTTATTTGTTGTTTTTATTATAAGAGTCGCTGTGGCTGGTGGCTTTTGGTGTTTTTGATAGCTTGGCAATCCTGGGCAAGTCTTGACAGTTTCATAACCCTCAGTATAATATTGACGATATGTCAATCTTGGGGAAATATTGGCAATTTGACAACTCATAGGAACCGTTGATGATATTATAGTTGTGTGTGAATGTTGACAGTTTGACAATATATGAAGTAATAATCACTACAAGGCAGCGTAAGGTAGATACTGTATGGTAACTCTGGGTAAACTTTGACGACACGGCAACTCTGACCTCACCAAACCCAGGCTATATAATTATACCGGGCAAAATATCAACACTTCCTCACATTCCGAGACAAGACCTCAGCAATGAAAGTCGCGTGGGAGAAGTTGAAGACCGTCAGGTTACATCCTCCACCTTCAACCCCTCCTGAGAAGTTGAACTACCTCGTCCTGAAGAACTTTTTTTACTTCTTCAGGTATAAAGGGGATTAAGAAAGTCATCCGCCAGCCGAATGGTGGCCTTATGGTCACCTTCGGTAACTGGGGGCAAGTCAAACAACTGAAGAATGTTTCTAGCATCAACGACGTGCCGGTCAAGCTGATCGCTAAATTCTGGGACAACGCGGTGAAGGGGGGTCATATTCCACACCGAAATCGAACATCTGGAACTCGACAAACTACAAGAACTCATCGAGGAATGCGCAGTCCAGAGGAAACTGTCAACACCCGACGGGGAAGCCACTGGCGCTTTAGTAAGTTTCCTCAGGACACTTCCCAAAGAGGTTATGCTGGGATGGGACACCAGTTCCAGGAAACCTTACATACCAACGAGGTGCTACCGGGCTCGGGAGGTGTGCGCCACGTGTGGGATAAGCGGGCACCAGCACACACCTCATGTGAAGCAACAAGGATATGTACAGCTTGTGGCGGCTCTCATTCCTCCACCGACCAGGAGTCTCAGGGAGGAGTGTAGGGTAGCCAATTTGCGATACGAGAAAAAACTTCGCGACAAGGAGGCTACCCATAGAGTCAAGAAACAAGAACGAATAAAAAACAAGAGAACAAAGAAATAAACGAAGAAAAGAAGAAACAAGAGGACGAAGAAAGCAAAGAAAAGGAACAAAAAAAAAAGAACAACGAACAATATATTTATGAGGAAAAAGATCAAATATGATAAGTCCCAAAAGAAGTGAAATAAGAAAAGGAAGAAAATATAAAAAAAATAACTAGACTACGGCCTTATTGACCTAAGATGTTGACGACCAATAAACCAAATCAACAACAACACTTCCCCAGTAATAAAAATGCGTTCAGAATGACAGTAAGGGTGACATAAAGGTAACTCTCCCCTCATCGTCAATTTATATATTTCTTTACGTGAAATAACAGGAGATAGAGACAGAGAACTTCATATTTACAAAGTCGTGAGCCAGAAATAATTGACCTACAATGGCGTTGGAATCAGTGCAGGAAGGACGAGTAGGTCAAGGGAGCCATTAGACTGGTTGGCAAAAGGACATTATGGTGTGGTGTGGTGTATTGTGTTGTGTTGTTGTGTGGTGAGTTGTGTGGTGTTGTGTTGTGTGGTGTGGTGTGGTGTGGTGTGGTGTATTATATGGTGTTGTGTTGTGTTGTGTGGTGTGGTGTGGTGTGTGGTGTATTATATGGTGTTGTGTTGTGGTGTGGTGTTGTGGTGTATTGTGTGTGTTGTGTGGTGTGGTGTGTGTTGTGTGTGTATTGTGTGGTGTTGTGTTGTGGTGTATTATATGGTGTTGTGTTGTGTGGTGTGGTGTGGTGTATTATATGGTGTTGTGTTGTGTGGTGTGGTGTGGTGTGGTGTGGTTTATTATATGGTGTTGTGTTGTGTGGTGTGGTGTTGTGGTGTATTGTGTGTGTTGTGTGTGGTGTGGTGTGGTGTGGTGTTGTGTTGTGGTGTATTGTGTGGTGTTGTGTGGTGTGGTGGTGGTGTTGTGGTGTATTGTGTGGTGTGGTGTTGTGTTCTGTTGTGGTGTGGTGTTGTGTTGTGTTTTGTGGTGTTGTGTGGTGTGGTGTTGTGATGTGGGTGTATTGTGTGGTGTTGTGTGGTGTGGTGGTGGTGTTGTGGTGTATTGTGTGCTGTGTGCTGTGTTGTGTATACCGTGTATACCTTTTACGTACCGTGTATACCTTTTATGTACCGTGTATACCTTTTATGTACCGTGTATACCTTTTATGTACCGTGTATACCTTTTATGTACCGTGTATACCTTCTACACGGACTAACAACTGGTGACAGACACAGAGTAACCGTAAAACATACACTCGTTTCTTCGGTCTCAATATTTACTCAGTGGCAACTCTTCACCGACCTTTATGGCGGTGTGGCAACTCAGGCTGAGAACATATGGCTCACCATTTAATATTTAGTATGTACAGTCGAGGGGGGGAATTCACGCCCACTATTTATAACCCTGACAATTCACCGCCAAGTATTTATGGTGTGACAATTCATGCTTTTATTTATGACTCGACTATCTCGTAATAATTATTTATGACTTGGCAACTCGTGGTGGGGGAGGGGGGGGGAGGGGAGGTTGGGGTGTTGTTCGTCTTGAGTGACTTATTTTATTTCTCCACCCCCCCCTCCCCACTCCTCCCCCCTCCTCCCCCCTCCTCCCAAAGTCAGATGATTGTGTTATGAAAAGAGACAGGTGTGTGTGTGTGTGTGTGTGTGTGTGTGTGTACGTTGATTGTGAGTAATACATTCTTGATCTTTTAGTATTTATTCATTATCAATTAGAAAATCAATAGTTTTATATAAATTTTGGCATTTATATTAAGTGTAACGAATGTATATGTATATGTATCCAGGTTATGTATATATTATATGTATACTCATGTGTTACTTGACGTGTGTATGTAAGCGCGATTGGAACAAAACATTCATAAAGAAGGTTAGCGAGTTGAACACAATTAGAATGACCGAATTAAGAGTAGTATTACCCGGCCCACCACACGTAGCGTTTACCTGATAACACCTGGGCTTATTATAAGACTCATCCGGTGTTTAGAGGGACAGGTGTTTGGCTGGTCCAGGTTAGGTTAGGCCAGGTTCTCAGGTAACACGTGAGTGAGGTGTGAGAGTCTTCTTGCACGGTTCTTGGTCCATATGTACGAGTTCTCACCTATGTGTTGGCGTCGTAAAATAAGCAACACAAACTATATTCTCTTGGTCACGTGTGTTGTGTGTTGTCAGAGATGTGTGTGTTGTGTAGAGAGCAACATTACTATTGTGTTGGGTAATACGTGGGCCCAGCACTGAGGTGTACAGGAGAGTTGTGAGTCACTGCATATATCACTGTGTCATTAACGTGTTCCACTGGCGTGTTCTTGGTGAAATATTACCGACCTGTCTTACGTGACTGCATTTGCTATGTGTTGCAAGGTGACCCACACACTGGTCTATGTTTTTGTGTTAATAGTGCTGGGTTGCTTGTGTGTTGCAGAAGTATAATATGTTTTGTTGCAATATATTTTTCAGGGCTGTACTTATTTTCTACTCTCTTTTGTTGCAGGAGAATTATAATGTGTTTTTGTGCTGCAATGTAATAAACTATCCAAGACTGTGTTACTAATGTTGCACTGTTTGTTTTGCAGGGGAAGCATGGGGTGCAGATGACAGGGTCTGGGGTGAAGGCAGATGGAGGGGAGGAGTACCGACGGGCGGTGACGGCACCTGGGGGTCGTGCCCGCTACTACCTCCGCCCGGACTACCCTCACCACGACCCTCATCCCCCAAGACATGATTACCCACCCCGGGACTACCTGCCGGAGAAGTTGGACGACCTCTACCCCCGCCACAAGGAGGACTTCTACAGCCACCGCCCCAAGGAGCGTGATGACTTGGGGGGCGGGGGCTACGGTCCCCCAACCCCGGATGAACCCTTCACCCGCACCCCGTCTGGTCGCGCCCCGAGGCTCCCCCAGGACCGTTTCCCCCGGATGCCAGACTACCCGCCGCCGCCGCCCACGCCCGAGGCGCGCGGCGGAGGTGCAGGGCTGTACGGCGTGGCCGGCGGGGAGCGGGTGTCGCGCCTGCTGGAGCTGTACGGGACCCTAGACGGGCGGGGCGGGGGTGGAGGGGCGGCCGGGGTGGGCGGCGGAGGCGGCGGTGGTGCGGGCGGCGGGGCGGCGTCGTCCGTGCCCGTGCCTGCGGGGTCACGTTCTCACCACGACATCTACGGCTCCCTGGACGGCCGTACCTCCAGGCTCTCTGACATCTTCCCGACCAGCGAGGCCGCCAGACTACGACAAACCGCTGATTTCCGACAAGCGGACGAGACGCGGTCGTTGTCGGGTCGGGAGGGCGTGCTGGCCGATCTCTGCCGCCGTCGGGAATTGCCACCCGCGCCCCCAGAGTACCGACTGCACGAGTACCGACCCAGACACGACTTCCGCGGACCGCCCAAGACGCAGCCGCAGCCGCCGCACGACCAAGACGTGATCGAGAATCCCATGTACGATGTGGAGCGTCGGGGCGCCTCGGGCCCTCCCCGCACCCCTGGCCCTCGCCCTGCCTCCGCCGCCCCCACCACGCCCACGCCGACCACCCACCACCAGCACCACCCACACCACCCTACGCACCCCACCCACGCCCATACCCCAGCTCATGCCCATACCCCAGCCCATGCCCACACCCCCGCCCATGCCCATACCCCCGCCCACCAACCTCAGCACCAGCACCACCACCAAGCCCTGCAGCAGCAGATGCAGCAACAGCAAATGCAACAACAGCAGATGCAGCAACAGCAGATGCAGCAACAGCAGATGCAGCAACAGCAACAACAACAGCTACAACAACAACAATTACAACAACAACAGCTGCAACAACAACAATTGCAACAACAGCAGCAACTGCAACAACAACAGCAGCAGCTACAACAACAACAGCAGCAACAACAACAACAAATGCACGTAGCTCAATCCCACCCCGTCCCCACCTCTCATCTTCAAGCGCACACAGGACCCACCCACGCCGGCCCTGGCCACGTGGTCCCTGGCCATGCGGGACCTGGCCATCCGGGACCTGGTCATGCGGGACCTGGCCACTCCGGACCTGGCCACTCCGGACCTGGCCACAGTGGCCCTGGCCGGCCTGTGGTCCAGGGGGAGAGACAAGAAGCCCGGTATACGGCGGCCATCGCCCAGCAGGAGGACGTGCTAAGGTCAGTACCTGAGTCTTACCTGTTCTAATTAACATTACCTGTCTACGTCATTACCTGTCTACATCATTACCTGTCTACATCATCACCTGTACATCATCACCTGTCTACATAATTAACCATCTACGTGAGAAACTGCGACTCCTACCTGCTCAAATGATTGTCTTTGTGAATGGAGGTAAGTAAACATGTACCTCTCTCTCTCTCTCTCAAAGCTGGGCTAAGGGGGTCTTATTATCTTTACCTCAAGACCACTGTTTTCTGGTAAGTCTTAATACTGTATTCTGGGGTCTTAATACTGTATCCTGGGGGTCTTATAAAGTTACAGTATTTGTATTGGGAAATGAAACTTAATGCAGTTATATATTTTTTTAGGCTATGTTGCCAGGGGTTAGGTTACCAAGTTAGGATAAGTTTGGTTAGGTTAGGTTAAAAGACTGTAATTTGGTTTGATAAGGGCAAGCTTAATTGGTTTTGATTCGGTTAGGTTTGGTTAGGTTAGGTTAGGTTAGGTTAGGTTAGGTTAGGTTATAGACTAGACAAGCTAATTTTTAGGTTAAGTTAGGGTGTTAGGTTAGGTTAGGTTAAGTTAAGTTATAGACTCAACAAGTTAAGGTGTTAAGTTAGGTTAAGTTAAGTTAAGTTATAGACTCAACAAGTTAGGGTGTTAAGTTAGGTTGGGTTATAGACTCAACAAGTTAGGGTGTTAAGTTAGGTTAGGTTAAGTTAAGTTAAGTTATAGACTCGATAAGTTAGGGTGTTAGGTTAGGTTATAGACTAGACAAGCTAAGTGTTAGGTTAAGTTAGGTTAGGGTAGGTTAAATGAAGCTATAGACTCAACAAGTCAGGGTGTTAGGTTAGGGTAAGATCTTTTATGTGAGTGTTATAAACAGTGAGGGTAGAGAGACGTGTTGCATTCACCTGCAGCAGTTGACGGTGTGGTGAGTCAGTGGTGTTGCATGTTGAGCCGGTATGCAGCCCCTGGCGGAGTGTCCCACGGCGGGGGTTATTGATAGCTGGGGCTTAGTAGCTGAGGGCGTGCCTTCCGTAGGTGAGGGAGGCCAGGGTGAGGGAGCCAGAGGGGGGGTGAGGGAGTGTCAGGGGATGAGGGAGTGCCAGGGGTGAGGGAGTGTCAGGGGGGTGAGCGAGTGTCAGGGGGTGAGGGAGGTCAGGGGTGAGGGAGTGTCAGGGGGTGAGGGAGGTCAGGGGGTGAGGAGGCCAGAGGGGTGAGGGAGTGTCAGGGGGTGAGGGAGTGCCAGAGGGGTGAGGAGGTCAGGGGGTGAGGGAGAGAGAGGAGAAGGGAGGAAGGTAGGAGTGAAGGAAAGCAAGTGAGGGAGTGGGGAGGAGAAGAGGCAAGAGGAGAGAGGACGAGGGGAGAGTGCGAAAGAGGGAGGGAGGAAAGGAAGGAAGGAAGGAATGAAGGTAGGCGTGAGAGATGGCGAGGAGGAAGAGAGGAGGTGAGCGGAACGAAGGGGAAGGAAAGAGAGAGAGAGAGAGTGAAAGTGGTAGAGGAGGACGGAGGGAGAGGGATGGTTGAGAGAGAGAGAGAGAGAGAGAGAGCGAGAGAGGGGGCAGGCAGGCACAGAGAGAGGCTAAGTGAGGCGGATTGAATGGAATGAAAGGAGTGAAAGAAAAGAAGGAAGGAAGGAAGGCACAAAGAGAGAGAGAGTAGAGAGCGAGAGAGAGAGAGAGAGAGAGAGAGAGAGAGAGAGAGAGAGAGAAGTAAAGCTATCATGAGAGGGAGGGAGAGGGTTCGCTGGGGTCAATGTCCTCTCACGCCGCTGTACTGCTGGTGTTCCCTGCCGCTTCTGTTGCTGTGTTGCTATTGTTGTTGTTCTTACTCTTCTTGTTGTTGTTCTTACTCTTGTTGTTTTTGTTCTTACTTTTGTTGTTTTTGTTCTTTTGTTGTTTTTGTTCTTACTCTTGTTGTTTTTGTTCTTACTTTTGTTGTTTTTGTTCTTTTGTTGTTTTTGTTCTTACTTTTGTTGTTTTTGTTCTTACTTTTGTTGTTTTTGTTCTTACTTTTGTTGTTTTTGTTCTTACTCTTTTTGTTTTTGTTCTTACTTTTGTTGTTTTTGTTCTTACTTTTGTTGTTTTTGTTCTTACTTTTGTTGGTTTTTGTTCTTACTTTTGTTGTTTTTGTTCTTACTTTTGTTTTTGTTGTTACTTTTGTTGTTTTTGTTGTTACTTTTGTTGTTTTTGTTCTTACTTTTGTTGTTTTTGTTCTTACTTTTGTTGTTTTTGTTCTTACTTTTGTTGTTTTTTTCTTACTTTTGTTGTTTTTGTTCTTACTTTTGTTGTTTTTGTTCTTACTTTTGTTTTTGTTGTTACTTTTGTTGTTTTTGTTGTTACTTTTGTTGTTTTTGTTCTTACTTTTGCTGTTTTGTTCTTACTTTTGTTGTTTTTGTTCTTACTTTTGTTGTTTTTGTTCTTAGTTTTGTTGTTTTTGTTCTTACTTTTGTTGTTTTTGTTCTTACTTTTGTTGTTTTTGTTCTTACTTTTGTTGTTTTTGTTCTTACTTTTGTTGTTTTTGTTCTTACTTTTGTTGTTTTTGTTCTTACTTTTGTTGGTTTTTGTTCTTACTTTTGTTGTTTTTGTTCTTACTTTTGTTGTTTATGTTCTTACTTTTGTTCTTTTTGTTCTTACTTTTGTTGGTTTTGTTCTTACCTTTGTTGTTTTTGTTGTTTTTGTTCTTACTTTTGTTGTTGTTGTTCTTACTTTTGTTGTTTTTGTTCTTTTGTTGGTTTTTGTTCTTACTTTTGTTGGTTTTGTTCTTACTTTTGTTGTTTTTGTTCTTTTGTTGTTTTTGGTCTTACCTTTGTTGTTTTTGTTCTTTTGTTGTTTTTGTTGTTACTTTTGTTGTTTTTGTTCTTACCTTTGTTGTTTTTGTTGTTTTTGTTCTTACTTTTGTTGTTGTTGTTCTTACTTTTGTTGTTTTTGTTCTTTTGTTGGTTTTTGTTCTTACTTTTGTTGGTTTTGTTCTTACTTTTGTTGTTTCTGTTCTTTTGTTGTTTTTGGTCTTACCTTTGTTGTTTTTGTTCTTTTGTTGTTTTTGTTGTTACTTTTGTTGGTTTTGTTCTTACTATTGTTGTTTTTGTTCTTGTTGTTTTTGTTGTCCTTGTCGGGGCCGGTCGTGGCTTATTTTGTCTGTGTATCTTTACATGTTTCTTTGTGTCGTGTTTGTTTTGCGTCTCTCTCTCTCTCTCTCTTTCTCTCTCTCTCTCTCTCTCTCTCTCTCTCTCTCTCTCTCTCTCTCTCTCTCTCTCTCTCTCTCTCTCTCTCTCTCTCTCTCTCTCTCTCTCTCTCTCTCTCTCTCTCTCCCTCTCTCTCTCTTCCTCTTTTCCCTCTGCCCCTTCATCTTTTCCTACCGTTCCTCTTTCCCTCTTCTCTCTCCCTTTTCTCCTTCCCTCTCTTTCCCTCCTACCTCTCTTTCTCTCTCTTTCCCTTCTCCCTCTTTTACCCCTCCCTCTTCACACTCCCTCCCACACACACACACACACCCTCCTCCACTACACAACCCGGGTATATAATATAAACAACCCGAATATAACCCGGAAATACAAAGCTGTCCATGATCCCGGATACATAAGGTTTCTTCTATGTATGGTCGAGTCTGGACAATTTAGACGCCATTATCACCTCTATTCTCTCTTAGACGAGGGACAATAATGACACCTTGAAGAAGAGACCTTTTGAGAATCCATCATTGTGTCGTAACTCCGGTGGGTCGTTTAGATACGTCTCGGTGGGTCGTTTAGATACGTCTCAGTGGGTCGTTTAGATACGTCTCAGTGGGTCGTTTAGATACGTCTCCACCTCTCAAGTTACGAGGGAAATTTTTTGGACTTACTATTTATTTAATTTTTTATCATTATTATTATTTTTTATTATTTTTTATTTTTATAGAATCGTAATTTTTTTTAATACTATAGTTTTTTTAATATATCACAAGGTATATATTATAGGTGGGTATATGATAATAATTAATAGAATGGTAAGTTATATTTATTGTATTTTTTTTTTTTATAATGTGTGATGACTTCAATATTAATTTTATTACTGCTCTATGGCTGAAGCTAATGGGTCGTTTTGATGTCTCGAATTGTTTGACGTCATGGAGTTATGGTGACATCATGGGGGTTGGTGGCTGTGAGTCACTCTGGTACAGTATAACTTGAGTGAAGTCCCCCCGCTATCTCTCTCTCTCTCTCTCTCTCATATTAGTGGTAGGAGCCAATGTCTTCATATGAAATTAGAAATAATAATAATAATGATGATAAATAATAATAATAATAATAATGATGATAAATAATAATAATAATAATGATAAATAATAATAATAATAATAATGATAATAAATAATAATAATAATAACGATGATAAATAATAATAATAATAATAATGATAAATAATATTAATAATAATGATGATAAATAATAATACAATAATGATGATAAATGATAATAATAATAATAATGATAAATAATAATAATAATGATGATAAATAATAATAATAATAATGATGATAAATAATAATAATAATAATAATGATGATAAATAATAATAATAATAATGATGATAAATAATAATAATAATAATAATGATGATAAATAATAATAATAATAATGATGATAAATAATAATAATAATAATAATGATGATAAATAATATTAATAATAATGATAAATAATAATAATAATAATGATGATAAATAATAATAATAATAATGATGATGATAAATAATATTAATAATAATGATGATAATAAATAATAATAATAATAATAATAATAATAATAATGATAAATAATAATAATAATAATAATCATTCTAATAATAATAAAAGTAATATTGGACAGAAATAACACGACCTGGCAACCTCGTACTGTGTGGCAAGGGAGAAGTGTTGGTGGAGTCGATACTGATTCTCTCTCTCTCTCTCTCTCTCTCTCTCTCTCTCTCTCTCTCTCTCTCTCTCCATATGAGACCTATAAATACACACCATG